CATTAGCTTTATATATAGATATATATAAAAGTGTCAGACCTTCCGGAACATTTTCAAAAGTTAAGTTGAAAAAGTTAATTTTTTGTGAAAAAGTTGTCATTTTAAATCCCCCCTTGTGGGCAGGTTAAGGGTTAAATTTATGAAAAAAATATACCAAATGAAAGGTAATGATATTATGCATCTATATAAAAAAGAATTATATTGATATGTTTATTTTTGAAAAAGTTATGGCACTTTTAAGTAAAAAAAATTGAAAAAATTTCGAAAATTAGCGATTTTTAAATTTGTAATTTTTTTGGAGGTTTCCCCCTTTTACGGGGAACGAGGGAATTTTTTTCAATTTTTAAGGGTAATGTCTTCGACTAGATACGATTTGTGATCTTTTGACGTATCATTGAAAGAAATCGGTTCGGTGAGAGCTGAGAAAAAGTGGTAACAGACACAAAAAAAAAAAAAAAAACACATCTTAGTAAAACCAATACCTTCTCAGCTTCGCATCGAAGCTAATATCAAATATTTTTATAAAAAAGGTTGAATTTTATTAATTATTGTTTTATGTGAATATTGAAAAAAACTATTAAATTATCATAAATACATAATTCTTTTATATATTTACAAATGTATTCAGTGCATAATTATATATTATCATATTTAGTTTACATCATAGTTTTATCAAAAAAGCTGAATTTTATAGTTTGTTAATTTATGTCAGTATTGAAAAAATTAATAAATTGTGATCAGTATTAACTAAAAATAATAAAATATACAAATTTGTTAGTGTATATATTTAAATGTGTGTACGTATTTGTCAGTCTAAATATCACTTATCATATTTATGCGCTACGTTATCGACTTTTGGAATGATATCTTTAATCAGTATTATAAATACTGATAAGTAGTTATTCATAATAAACAAAAGCAATAATAATTTAGTAATAAAGTATTATTAAGCTTTAATTTTTTAACAGATATTAACACTTTTTTATTTTTATTTGCAACGTATTTAATTAAATTTATAATAATTGAAACATTATATTTAAAAAATTTAATTGTTATAATTAAATGTTGAATAAACAATTTTTACAATATGTCTATTGAGTTTAAAGCTTTCGCCAAAGGCATCAATCACAAAAGAATAAAAACTTTTTTATTTGGTACTCATGATGTAAATGGTAGTGTCCTATAGTTTTCTTTAAAGTTGTCCCTAAAAATATCTTATAATTTAAAAATATTTTTCTAGTTAATATATTCAATGACACGGTGAACTGTATAACTCCTGGAGGTGAAATTTTATCATTTTGTTATAAAGACAAAATAATTAATTTCATAAGTAAATAAAATTCTTCTTTTATTAATGACATTAAATTAATGTTTAAAATTGTGATTTTTAGTAAAGTATGAGACAAATTCCTCTGAAAATATTTGTCAACAATTTGAAGTTTTATGGAGCGATGTTATTTCTGCCAATATAAAGTTTGTACAAAGCTTTTATTTTTATAATAATAATAGTATGTTATGATTTTATTTTAAAAATAATTTTCAAAGGATATACAAATCCTCTGAACTTATTAATTAAAAATTAAACTAAAATTAGTTTTAAATATTCTTTTCCTACTTACTACTATAAAATCATCTAATTTTTATTTGTTTATTAATATACAATTATTATATATACTAGTGTATAAAAAAGTTTTTAAATAGTACTGTTTATAAAGGAATTGGGGTTGTATAGTTCATTAGATTAAATAATACTATAGTCGTATTAGATTTAATAAAACCAATGAGTGTTCTGTTTTAAATAAAAAATAATTATTAAATAAATAAACTTATACATTACAATACAGGGTGATTTTTTTATCATAACAAATTTAATTAATTATAAAATAAAAATTATTTTTATAATATTTTCTCATTACATTAATTTCAATTTTCTCAGTTATTAAACATTATTTTGGTTTATGTCACATACAGAGTGATTTTTTTATCTTAACCCACTCAATTACTTGTACAATAAATGTAATTTAACACATTTTTTTTTTTTTTGGTTTTCTTTAGTTACACATTAATCTTTAATTATTAACTTGTTATGTTAATACCTTATGCCTTGTAAGGGTGTCAACATTGTTTTTTTAAATGGGAACACATATTTTGAATTTAATAAAATGTTTGAGTTTTTAATTCAATAGTAAATGCATTTGAATTTTTAATATAACTTTATTAGTTTATTAGATATAAACATTTAAAGTTTCAAATTTTTAAGTTAATATATATGTATAATACACAAGGTATTATAAATACAGGTAGCTAATTGGATTTTTATGACATTGCTGTCACAGTCACAGATTGTTTATTATCAATTATGACTGTCAATATATATACTTTCTGTATTGTCAGTTTGTGTATTTATAAACTCATAACAATGTGCCTTACTACCATTGATAATAACAATGCTAATATCGATGTCATAAAAAACCAATTAGCTACCTGTATTTATAATACCTTGTGTATTATACATGTATATTAACTTAAAAATTTGAAACTTTAAATGTTTATATCTAATAAACTAATGAAGTTATTTTAAAAATTCAAAGGCCATTTACTATTAAATTAAAAACTCAAACATTTTATTAAATTCAAAATATGTGTTCCCATTTAAAAAAACAAAGTTTACACCCTTACAAGGCATAAGGGATGAACATAAAAAGTTTTAAATAGTTAATAATTCAAGAATAACGTTTAACTAAAGAAAACCAAAAAAAAAAAATGTTTAAACTATTATTACTCTGTAAGTAATTGAGTGAGTTATGATAAAAAAATCACCCTGTACGTGCTTCTGTAGNTTCAATGAGAGCTGAGAAAAAGTGGTAACAGACACAAAAATAAAAAATAAATAAATAAAAAAAAAACACATCATAGTAAAATTAATACCTTCTCAGCTTCGCATCAAAGCTAAAAATGTTTAAATTATTATTACTCTGTAAGTAATTGAGTGGGTTATGATGAAAAAATCACCCTGTATATTATATGAGTGTCAAAATTAATTTTTAAATCATAACATACATAAATGACTACAAGATTTATGATTTCTAAGTATAATACATGAATTAATATTATTTAATATAGTAATTTTTACAGAGATATTATTAAAAAATTATAAAGTTGTTACAAAATAATAATTACATTAAGAAAATTCTTTTAAGTATCTTTTTAATTTAATAAAATTCTTTAATTTTGTATGGCAACATAAATGTTTAAATAGTTAATAAAATAAAATATTATTTAACTAAGATTATGACCAGTCAAAAACAATTTTTTGAAATAGTTTTACACTTAGTAAAATATAAATGTTGCCATTAAAAAAAATTAAAATTAATAACTTTATAAGGTATAAGAAATGAATTAAAGAAAATATTATAATTGATTAATCAAGAACTATATCAAAATTAATTTTCTTATTATAATTATTATTTTAATAGTTATCTAGTGGAATACATAAATAAATAAATCATCCTGTATTTTGTTACCTCAATTCATCAGTTAAAACATTTAAAAAGTTGTGACAGTTATGTTAAACACCATTCGTAGTCAATCATTTCAATTAATTAAATACAAATATTACACATGAAATTCATTGACAAGTATATGTATTTTTAAACCAAACCACCGTTTAACGACCTTACGCAGGAAGTGTCGCTGAACAACAACTGATAGAATATGATTTTATAATAACTGATCTGACTAAATAAATAACTTATCACATATGTTTAACAGTTATAAGTAAAAAATTTTTTTAAAATATCAAAATTTACTGATTTTAAAAATTAGTAATTTTTTGAAGAATTTTCACTATTTTCAGGGAATGAGAAAAAAGTTTTTAATTTTTGAGGGTAATGATTTCTACTTGATACAATTTGTGATCTTTTGATGTATCATTGAAAAAAAATATTCCAGTGAGAGTTGAGAAAATATAGTAATAGACTTAAAAAAAATAAAAATATATACATATCATGGTAAAATTAATACCTTTTCAGCTTTGCATCGAATCTAAAATTAATTTGATACCTTTATAAAGTATAAGAAATAGTTTGAAAAAGTATTTAATAATTAATAAACCAAAGAAATAATTGAACTAAAAAAAGTATAAAAATATATTTTCAATATGTAAGTTAATTATGATAATATCATATATTATAATAATTTTTAATTAATTGTAACTACAATTATCAAAAAATCTTATTACATTTTTTTGTTGTTTTATGTTATTGTAGTGAAGAAATCACATCAGTTTTATGCTTACCTTTATCTACAGTTAATACAAAATTATCTAGTCATTCTACTCCTGAATGGTTTTGTTTTGCGGTTGGTTTTTCCAGTGGAATTGTAAAATTTTTCAATGAGGTAATTTACACTTTTTTTGGAAACTTTGAGTATTTTTTTTATTTAATTTATGTTTTAATTAAATGTTAGTAATTCACTTAGCAATATTATTTTACAGGATGGCAATCTGTTATTCTCACAAATTTTTCATAATAATAATGTTCTAAAAATAAGATGTCAAAGTCATCAACCTGCTATGAATAATCCTCCTTCAATTGAACAACCTGAAGAATTTGTTGTTTTATACAATGATGTTCTTTGTACTATTGTTGGTACACTACTAGTAAATTGTTTAAGGTCTTATAAAAATCAATCAGTAAAAGGTATATTAGCAATTTAAGGTTTACATTGAACTTCCTTAGTATTTTTAGTTAAAAATATTAAAATTTTATTTGAAATATAATAAAATTTATTTATATTTATATATTTTTTTCACTAAAATATTGATGTATTACCTTGGTATGAACACCAACATTTTTATTGGTTTAATTTTGAATCATAGTTAATAATCAATTTTTTTAGGTAATTATGGAAGTTCCACTAATATTCCTGCATTAGCTTACAAAAAATGGGCTTTTGATGTTCAAGAGAAAATTAATGATGCTTCTGTTGGAGGAAAATATGACATTAAAAGTTTTCAACATGTAGTAGCAGCCAACATTTGTAAGGGTATTAATGGAAACAAAATAAATAATTTACCTCAAATAACTCAAATCATTGCTGCTGGTAAAAATCCATACTTAGCATTTCATTTCAGTATTGGGAGTCAAGCAATACCTACATTTGAAAATATAACTAAAGCAGTTGCTAATAAATTGAAATCATCAATAACTCAAACTTTACCGTATGTTAAATTAATATTTAATAATATGTATTTAATCAATTTTTATCAAGAAATGAAAAATTGCTCCCTTTATAATTAAACTAAACATCGGCAAATTATTTTTCTAAAAAACCCAGCAGAGTGGGGTCGTGGCATAGTTGGGTCCAGTATAGATGATATCTGACAGTGATTAAAATCACTATCATAAAAAACGCTTCGATGCAAATCTGTATAAAGTGTTTAATTTTAAAAAAAAATTGTCAAAAAAGTAGGTCAAGTGAGAGCTAAGAAAATAAATGATAGCTACAAAAAAAAAAACCACATGGTAAAATAATATTAATATGAATTTCTTCTCACGAGAATAGACTACAGTAATGGGATCCTGGATATTTATTGAAGTTATTGAATCTTTTTTTTTTTTTTTCTCCGATCGGCTTGGTTGTGGACCCCCCTGTAACTACCGTTAGGTATTACTTCAGGGCGGCCCACGCCGTCTTTAAAACTCACACCACCATGTTGTGAATCAGCTCGAAATTAATCAAGAGCTGATTCACAACGTGGTGTGGCCTCCCCCGTTAGCCGGATCCCAGAGTGGGATCCGTTTCCCGGGTTGCACCACGTGGAGGTGGGGGCAGGACTTTGCGAAGGGGGCACAAATAACTCACGAAACAAAAACATAAAACATAAAACACGAATACCTAAGGCGCCGGCCTAAACCAGCGCCTTAGGTCCTCTTGTACCGGGCGGCGCGGCTGCCTTTATCTCAGGCGTTCAGCTTCCTCCTTCTTTTTTAGGATGAATTCAGCGAACGCCTGGACGAGCCTCCACGCCTCCCGGCTTCCCAACATCAGGTCCACCAGGGACCCGACTCGGAGTGTGGACCCTAGACGGGACTCTAGAGAGTCCCGTTCCTGGGCCCACGCCTCGCACCGGAAGAGGGTGTGCAGGGCGCTATCAGCCTCTCCCGGGCGATCCGAACAGTGGTCGCAAGTCGACGCGGCTGCTTTACGAATACGGTGCAAGTACTCGTTAAAGCAGCCGTGGCCGGACATCACTTGGGTGAGTCATCTCACCGCGAGTCCGGTCCACCCACCTGTCCAGCCGATCGTGTCCTATGAGGGACCTGGTCCACTTGCCTCTCGTCGTTTCCTCCGAGGGCGAGTCCGCCACCGGAGCATGGTCATCCGCCTGAGCGCTAGCCGGTCCTCGGGTTCGAGGGACCGGTTGCGTTCTCGGCGGAGCTCATGCCCGGCGGCGCGTTCCTCGGCGAACAAGATCGCTTCGGTCTTGTCCAGGGCGAGGCTCAGTCCACTCCCCTCCTGAAACCATACTGGCCCTCGGCCAGTCCGCCGACGTCAGACAGGTGGGCTTCGATCCGGGTGACGAGCAGCCGCTCGAGGATCTTCCCCAAGTCGTCCAACATGCAAAGCGGTCGGTACGACGAGGGGAGACCCTCGGGCTTATCACCCTTCCTCAGAAGCATCAGCCTGGGCTTCTTCCACTCGTGGGGAATTCACCCTCTGAGAGACAGCGGTTCGCGACGGCGCGTATCCAGTCCGGGGCGAGGTCGTTTACCAACCCCCACACCCGGTTTGGATTCGCGTCAGGACCGGGAGCTGTGTTCCGGCTCCGCACGCGCGCCACCGCGTCAGCCACCTCCTGAGTGGTGAATTCCTCCACAGACACGTCGTCCCCGAACGCCGGGGGAGGCAGAGGCGGATGTGTCGGAATGAGCGTGTCTACCGCCCTTTCCAGCACTTCCGCCTCCAGCTGACCGGCAGCCGGTGAACCGCGGAGCTTATGCATGACGACCCGATAGGGTTTCCCCCACGGGTCGTGGTCCACCGACTTCAAGAGTTCGGCCCAGCACTTCGCTTTGGCCCGCCTGATGGCGAGCTTCAGCTCTTTGCGGGTCGACCTCAGCGCCTCCCTCGGGTCCGTGAATTCCGGGTCCCGCGGCCAATGGTTGGAGCGCGTCATAGCCCTCCTGACCCTGACGCACTCCTCACGCCTGCCCGCCACCTCGGCGTTCCACCAGTGAACTGACGGTCCGCGAGTCGACGGCGGTCGTTTGGCCGGGAGGGCGAAGTCGCAGGCTGCGACCACCCTCCGGTCCAACTCTTCCGCCGCTTCGTTCGCGGAGACGTGTCGGTCCGGTACCGCGGGCGCCGACCATTGAGCGAGCAGTAAGCCCGTCTCGAATGCGTCAACGTCTGTCGCCGATCCGACCCGCCAGCCCTCTCGCCCACCGCGAAACGGCTCGCGGGGCAAGTTATTGAATCTAAATGAGTTAAACAATATTTTCTAACTCAAAAAGAATTGAGAAAAAATGCAGTGCCACAGGCGTGAAAGACTCAAGTGTTAAATTGAAATTTAGCTAGTTTAAATTTTAAAGTTATTTTTCTCAACTTCAAAGAAACAAAAAAATTTAAATATGTTTAACTTTTTATACTATGTCAATTAGATTGATATAATATTTATGAAAATCAGTGTAATCCCTTTATAATAAAATAAAATACAAAACCAAGAATTTTAACACAAAAATAGCATATTTTTGAATACGGTAGCTATTTTCACCATGAAAACAAAATAAAGTCCGAAATTTTTTTTTTTAATATTAAAGTATATTATATAAGCTTTAATTTAAGATATATATAAAAGTGTCAGTATTTTTGGAACCCAACCTAAAATATACAATTACAAAATAAATGATATATTTTCACGTAATTGACATTTTAATTAAATGTTCCATAATTAAACAAGTAGGATACTTAGAAAAAAAACTCAGCACAGGTGGGTCGCGGTAAAGTGGTGACGTGGCATAGTTGGATCAAGTATAATGATATCTGACAGTGATTAAAATCACTATAAAAAAAAAACGCTTCGATGCAAATCTTTAGATACTGTTTAATTTTAAAAAATTGGTGGACTATTCCAAAAGCTACATGATCTGCTAGTTCATTATTAATATCCTAATTAAGATAAAGTATGTAGAATGAAAAAGGGATTATTAAAAAATATTATTTCTCATAAAAAAATAATGTTGATCCATACACTTTTCAATATGTCATAGCATTATAAAGTTAAAAATGTAAAAAATAAAATTGAGAATTTTCACACAATAATAGCATTCGGTAGCCATTTTCACCGTGAAGATAAAATAAAGTCCGAAATTTTTTTTTTGCATAATAAAGTATATTACATTAGCTTTAATTTAAGATATATATAAAAGTGTCAGACTTTCCGGAACACTTTCAAAATTTAAGTTGAAAAAGTAAATTTTTTGTGAAAAAGTTGTCATTTTAAATCCCCCCCTGTGGGCAGGTAAAGGGTCAGATATAAAAAAAATATATACCAAATGATAGGTAAAGACATCATGCATCTATAAAAAAAAAATTATATTGATCCATACATCTTTCAAAAAGTTATAGCATTATAAAGTTAAAAATATAAAAAAGAATTTTTTTACAAAAATCGTATTTTTTTTATAAACTTTGATGTCTGTTTTCACCATGAAGATGAAATAAAGTCCGAAATTCTTTTTTACCATAATAAAGTATATTACATTAGCTTTAATTTAAGATATATATAAAAGTGTCAGACCTTCCGGAACACTGTCAAAAGTTAAGTTGAAAAAATTAATTTTTTGTAAAAAAGTTGTCATTTTAAATCCCCTACTGTGGGCAGGTAAAAAGTCAGATTTATAAAAAAAATATACCAAATGATAGGTAATGACATCATGCATCTATAAAAAAAAGAATTATATTGATATGTTTATTTTTAAAAAAGTTACGGCAGTTTTTAGTAAAAAAAATTGAAAAAATTTCGAAAATTAGCCATTTTTAAATTTGTAATTTTTTCGGAGGTTTCCCCCATTTACGGGGAACGAGGGAATTTTTTTCAATTTTTGAGGGTAATGTCTTCGACTAGATACGATTTGTGATCTTTTGACATATCATTGAAAGAAATCGGTTCGGTGAGAGCTGAGAAAAAGTGGTAACAGACACAAAAAAAAAAACATCTTAGTAAAACCAATACCTTCTCAGCTTCGCATCGAAGCTAAAAACACAACATAGTAAAATTAATACCTTCTCAGCTTCGCATCGAAGCTAATATTAAAAAAAACATTTTCAAAAATCAAAATATTAATACAAAGGATGATTGATTAATCATTGACCACTAAATTTTTCTTAAAATAATTATAATTTTGAGAATTTTGTTTTAATTTTGGTAAGAATTATTTATTTCTTGATTTATAAGTGGTTAAATATTTCATAGGTCCAACTCCTTATTATATCAATTTAATTTTTTAAACAGTAACATACATATTTTATTAGTAGATTAAATCTTAGATAATAATTTAACTGAGAAAATGATGGGTTGGTAACAACTATTAAACTAATATTTAGGAAGTCACTAATATTTTTAAGTGTAGACAGAAGGTAAGGTTAACAATGATAACTAAATTTGTTTTAAAAACATAATAATTAAAAGAATTTTTATTTGGCTTATTTTAGTAGTATTTATTCCTTGATTTATAAGTAATTAGATACTTTTTGTTCTATCCCTTATCTCTTAAAAGAATGTCAATTTTTTTTTTTAATGGGACTATACATAAGTAATTATCTTTTTTATATAATGGTTTAATTAAGAATATGACTGGTGGATAATACCTTTTGGATAAGTATTTTATAAATTATTAAAATTATTATAGCTAGGCAGAAAGATAATTGTGATAATGAAATTTCTTATATTAAAAATAGACATATACGTTTCTCACCAGAGTCAATATTTTAGAATGGTAGTAACTTCTGAAATAACGAGAAAAAATATTTTTTATTGATTTCAATATTTTTCTAATTATTAATCATAGAATATTTTTACTTGCCATATATAAATAATTAAAAAAATGTTTTGGTTACTTTTAGTTACATATTATTCATGATTTATTAACTATGTAATACTTTTTAAGTTCATCACATAAGTCTTGTAAACGTGTCAATTTCATTTTTTCAAATGTAGCTATATATTTATTTTTTTGATTAATAAAGATTTATTATTTTTATTTTATAACATTTAAATGTTTTATTTAACTTAATTCGTTTATTATTTATAATATTTTAAATTCTTAATTCTTTAATTATACATGTATTTTACATGTATAACATCTAAAAAACTACAAAATACAAGTAGGAAATTTCTTCTTTATAATACCGCTATTAATAAATACACAGTGATTATTGCCAATTATGCTACTATTGAGTGATACTATCAAGCAGTACTAAGTCACAATGATAAAATTGAATACTTAGAAATAAATATTTATGAATTAACCTATCATTAATATATTAATTGCTACTGATTAGTATGATCTCTTTTATATTATTCATGTATTTTAACCAAAGAATTCATAACTTAAATGTGTTATATTCAACCAACATTTAGATGAAGTTTTTTCAAAAGTTCAAATGCTATTTAATATTTAAAAGAAACCTTAAAAATTTTATTAAATGCAAAATATGTCCTCATTTGAAAAAGGTTGACTCCCTTTCAAAACGTAAGGAATGAATTTAAAAAGTATTTCATAGCTAATAAGTGGTTTATGGTAAACGAATTACAATGTATCATAATTATATTTTATCATGTTGGCTAATAATAATACATATTTTTTTTTAACTTATGAAAATATCTGTTTTGTGTAAATATTTTTGAATTAATTTTTCTAGAAGTTGGTTAACATATAATCTGTCTTCAATTAATAATATTAATTTTCAAGAAACAGCTGAACAACTTAGATGTCGGTTAGTATTTTTACTATATAATTGCTTATAATATTACCTATTATAATAAAATGATGATTAAAAATCATTTTAAATCATTTTCTTTTAAGATTCAAGCTTTATGATGAAAACTGTGAAGCTTTACAAATTGAATTAAGTCCACAATTAGCAGTTGGAGTTATTTCTGATAATTTAAATAAAGTTACATTGTTTGAAGTAAATGCTGGGGAAATAATACGGTAAATAATATATTAAATTAATAAAATATAATGCTGACATAAATGTATGTATTTAGAGTTTGGAATGATTGCCGAGAGGTACAATTTGGATGGCTTGTTGTAAATGAGAGCAAAAGTTCAAATTCTAAACAGGCATTGTTTTTAGTAATGTATTTACCCTTCAAGGAATCAATAGAAGTATGGTCCATGCAGAATTATGAACTTGTGTCAGAAATAAAAGTCTCAAAAAGTGGACGGTAATAATAACTTGTTTAAAAGAATTCTTATATTTTATAATACCTTTTTGTTATTTGTTTATTTAGGCTATTTTATACTAATTTTGGCTTACTTGGTGCTTTGAGCTCATCAAGAAGAAATATTTATAATGCAAATTATCGTTGTTATTTCATAGATGAAACAGAAATAATTAGGGAGTTAATTGTACCATTTCATTGTGCTGATATGTAAGGTTTTAGAACTAATTAATATAATTGTTATATTTTAACTGATTATATATTTTTATATTAAAATTAATTAAATCTGATAACTAATTTATATTTATATATAAAAAAAAGGAGCAACAATGAATTATCACATGATATGCATTTAATGAAGACGTTTAAATCTCTATGCAGAAATGAAAATTTTGATGATAAAAAACTTTGTGAAGAAGTTGTAAATTTGGCTAATAATTTAATGACTGATAAAGTAAGACAACAAGCATTTGAATATATTAAATCCAGTAAACATATGACACTAAACGCATTTTTGGACTACTTAAAAAGTTATAAAACTGTTTTAGAAAAAGAAAGTATGTATATAAAATCAAAGTGAATTATTTAAAAATCTTATAATTACATTAAAATTACATTGTTTAATTTTAGTGACAAGTAATTCTCTAAGTAAAAAAATTTGGCTGCAAACTATTGATAACCACTTAAAGCTTATTAAATACTTTACATTTTTATATCAATACCAAAACAAGCATTCTTCTTCTGTGCTTTACACTTCTTCAGCTGATGATAAAACACAAGTAATTAGATCAATTAAATTAATTAGTTATTTATTTTATTTATCTTATTAATATATAAGGGAATAAAACTATATTATATTTTGTCATTGGCAGTAACACTGGCACTGATGTCAAATTATATATGTATTTCTTATAAAAAACTTTATGATGGGACACTGCCACCTTAAAATTTTTATGGTCTTTTTTTGTTCATTACTTAACATATAAATATAATTTTAATGAAATTACAGAAATTTAATAATTTATAAATTTATTGTATATGTATTTCGATCACAACCCATATATATATAGGTATAGATGTCATTAATCATTGAAACTAAATAAAATCTGCGATAGTCCATAAAAAGTATATAATTTAAGTGTATATTTTTTTATTATTAATATAAATTTAAATAATATTAATTACAAGTAGTCAATTCATATTATAAAATAATATTATGTCATTAAAAACTAAGACAACCTATTTTCAGGAGCTCTGTAAAACACTTCGTATAAGTGATCAAGATTTAGACAAAATAATTTCTTTGGTCCCTTTTGAAATACAAAGGAAAACTACAGTTATGTTTCAGGATGAAATTAAGTTAACATTTACTAAAGTAATTGAATTGTTATCATGTTTTAAAACAACTGAAGATTATATAACTTTAAGAAAAGATGTTAATCTTGATGACTTATGTAATTTTTCAATTTATTATTTATTTATATATACAGTGTGATCGGCTTACTATGTCTCATGTAATATCTTTGAAAAAACAAGTGTTACAAACAATTTTTTTTTTTAAATTTTTATCTTTGATAATCTGTTTCACAAGAAAAATTAAATTTCTATCATCATTCCTTATACTTAGAACTTGTATCAATTTAAAGATAAATTTTACGAGATATGATGAAAAAATTTAGTAGTTTTTCCAACACGGTCACATTATTATTTTTTGTAGTGGTAAGAGCTACCATTTTACTGTGTCAACGCACGTAGTCAGAATAACCAAGATTTGCTTGGTATGTTTATTCATAAAACTGGTAACCCTTATCGATTTACGACCTATAACGTTGATGTTTGTTATAATTTTTTCTTACTAAACCCTAAACTTTAGAGAGCCGTGGAGCACTTGATATGAAATAAAATAAAATATTTTTTTTATTAAACTAAATCTAATAGTGTAACAAAAATTAGGGTTGCTATTTGAAAATATGAAGTTAATATAAGTTTTAAATATAAGGGATGGTGGTAGATATTTAAATTTTCTTATGAAACACCTCATCAAAGATCCATAATGATTAAAATAAAATTGTTTATAACACTTCTAATTAGATATAGTTAGCCGATCACTCTGTATATAATAGAATCAATTTATTCAATTATTTGTTATAGGTAAAAAAATATTTGAACCTATAATGCATTCTGACAGTGATATTAGAGAATGGAATTTAGCTTGGGTGGCTAATGGTATTCAAATTACTGATATGATGTATTTAGCTGTTCAGTATTGGTTGTCTAAAGCACTTACATTAACAGTTGTTACTGAAATGATATCATTTTATCGTATTATTGATACACTTTGTAATATTAATGGTAATTTATTATTAATTGCTTAGTATTTTTAGAAATTTTAGGTATTATAGTTTTCCTAATTATATATTTTTTACTTTAGTTAAAGAAAATATTGATTGGAAACTCATACAAGATCAATTTTCAAATCATTCTAACACATTTTCTTGTTTAACGGGTTCCATTATTTGTAAAACTATTGCATCTATAAAAAAGACAGGTAAAATTTTAAGCAGTAGCCTAATAAATTTAATATTTTAAAATATAACAGTTTATATTTTCATATATTAAATAAACTTGAAACAATAATTTACTTTAAGTGTAGCTTATAATTTTTACTTAGAATTAGTTAAAGTTGATGCTGAGTGGGAGTGTCTTACTAGAGAAGATTACAAATGGAATTTATTAATAGTACGACTAGAACAAGTTTGTCATCTAAATGCTACTTTGAAGTATTGTCCTGAAGAATCTCATAGTACTCTTTATTGTACAAAATATAATCATATTCCATTATCCCTGACTGAGGTTTTAAGAAATGGAAGAGGTACTACCTTTTAATCTCAGTTAGTTATAAAATGTAATGTTTATTTATGGTTCCAGGTGGGGTTTCTATGTTTGTAGCAAAATGGTTAATCAGTGTTGGTCTTGATCCAGCCTTAATCATGAATGATTATCTATTTGATAAACAAGATAAAATACTTGAAATTGAATCTCCAAATTTAGAAAATAAAATAGTGAAAAGTATTCAGGATGGTATAGCTATAAACACTGAATTAGCTATAGAAGCAAGAACTTTGAGTAATGCTGAAAAAGAAACAATTGATGCATTACAAAATTTAAGATTATGTTTTCCATATAGTTTAGATAGTAATATACTATTGAGCAATATTTATTGGGAATATTTATTGGAATGGAAAGAATGTGTTTCTAATCTTAGACCATTGGAAGCTGGACTAAAAGTTGCTGACTATATAGCATGTTCTCACATAAAATATAGTAAGTTCCAGTGGATAAAAATAAATTTATATAAGATAGATTAAAATGGTACAAAATAGATGTGTGATAAAAAAATTGTTAAAAAGCTTGACATTCCTATCATGTATATATAATTTTATTTGTAAAAAAAATTATTGAATTAAAAACATGTGTTGTGTGGCACATGCCCCAGGCTCCATATATAGTAAAGGTATAGTTTAAGTTTTGTTTAAGGGCATTATGTAAGGAAATTTTTCATTACCGCTTCACAACTAATAAAATAGAAATTTCACTATGTAATCATTTTATACTGGCGAGTTATATGACCTTTCAAGCCTGTTCCTCCTAAAATATAAATACTTGACAAATAGTATTCAAACAAAGGCCTAATTGGAATAACTACAAAAATACATTTAAGATTTGTTTAAAAAAACTGAATATAATAAGTATTATTTGCAGGTATTTCAAACTTAATATGGATTACATTTTTGTCAAGTACTTTTGAATCTGCTGTTAAACTTATTCATCAACTAGGGAAAATACCGAAAGAGAAATTATGTATACAAGATGTTGGTATGCCAGATCGCTGTATATCAAAATTTTTCAACTTATGTGAATATTTCTTGGATAGTGTAATCAAAGTATAAAATATAGTTATTTAAATAATTCATTTATTAATTAAGTTATCTTTAACAAGGCTTTATTATCTGCTGAAGATGACATTTTAGCTGAAATAAAACATGATTTATTTTGGGAAAATTGGAAAATTAATAACCAACATGAGCCTACTCTAGTTCAAAAAGCTTTAAGTATACCTAATCCTGATCAAGAAGTTCTTTTATTTTTTCATCAGTGTGCCAGAACTTTTCATATTATGTCCGAATTTTCATTGCATTCATCAAAACCTCTTACTAATCTATTCGACTGTAATGTATGTATTTATACTGATAAAAAACTTAAAACATTTTTATAATCATAAAATGTATTGCTAGATAAATGAAGTTGATTTTCATTCTTTAAATCATAAAAATTATTTAACTCAAGAACAGCCAAGATTAAAAGTAAAAAAAGCAAGAACAGATTTTATTATGAATTCAATAACTTCTGCTATAGGACTAATTCAAAAAGATTATGAGGTATCATGCTTCTTTATTATTTTAACTTTAAAAATTTTAACTTCAATTTAGTTTAATTATTTTTTTAATACTACTTAGTACTACTAATAATTAAAAATATTTTTCTTAACCCTGGAACGGTAGCGTACGTCAGACTAACACATTGTGCGCGCACCAATCACTTCCCCTTCGGTCCCTTCCCTCATGCACCTCTGTACCTTTTTTACGTGATTTGAATAAAGATTCTTTTAAAAATGATCATAGCTCGTTTTTATCACAACTCACCCTATGCTCACACCGTTAACAATAAAAACTATTAAAGGAGTCAAATTGACGCATTGCTAGTAAAATACGTCTCTAAGATATCGCTAGCGTTCCAGGGTTAAAATATAGTAAAACTGAAAAGCTTCTTATTTGTTTGTTTTTATATATTGTTTCCAAACAAAACAGATAAAACAGAACAGAAACAGAATACAATTTTTACTTTGTTGCTTTTTTTATATCATTCTAAAATTTAGTTTTTCAGTAATTTTATTTCATAACAAAATGATCTAAAATAAAACAAAATAGGTAACAAATTTACATGTTTTATCTAAGTTTAAATTAATTAATTTTATATTCCTATTGTTGTATATTGTAAATTATTTCGAGCATTATTAAATAAAAAATTGATTTAAAATTATTTTTTAGTTAATTGTAAAAATCTATTTAACACGAATACAATGAAGAAATAGTATTATTCATATAATTATCAAAGTTTATTCTAGGTATTTAATACAAATACAATAAATTTAAACTTTTATCAGCATGTGAAAGAATATTCATAGTTTCTTCATCAGAAAGGTTTTATAATAATGATTCAACTAACCAACCTATAAATTACTAAAAAAAAATTCAAAATTGTTTATATTTTAACCAGAAAAATTATATTGTTATTGATAATTTCCCTTCTAATTTTAAATGACATAGGTTAATCCTTTCTTATTGCTTCTAAAACATTTATTCTAATAATTATATAATTTATCAATTGAATCTGATATTATATAAATTTAGAAACATTTTACTCTATAAGTCACAAAAATTCTAAATATATATATATAAATGTATACTAATTTCGAGAACAATGTTACTATCATCAACACTTAATTAAACGACGCTAATGGTAAGATTGTCTCGAAATAGGTATACACAGTTTTAAGTATTATCTGTAGCTTATACAGAATGATTCACTTATTATAAACCACTTAATTTATCAAAAATAAAAATAATGTTAGAAATATTTTTACTAGTTTCTTTTAGTTCAATGTTTCTCTCTATTTTTTAATCATAAAGTTTTTATATGTCCACCCCTTATAAATTATAAGGGAGTTAACTTTTTTTAAATAAAATACTCCTAATTAATTAGCTTACTTAGTTGATAATCTAATTAAGAAAATGTCTATTTGATAATTTATTTTGGTACATTATTTTGGCCGTTATAACTATTTTAAAATATAGAGTGGTGATGAATTGTGTGTTATGTAATTTTTATCATCACGCATTACTCTATTCAGTACACTTCCTCTCATCAAGATATAAATATGTTAATAACTTCTAAAATATTGATCCAAGAGTTGATATCTTCAAGTTATTTTCTTAATTAGATTAATTATCAGTTAAGTAAGTTAGTTAATTAATGTTGTTCTCATTTGACAAATTAAAATTGCCACCCTTATTAAGGTTTATACCTTAAGGTATAAGGGATGAACATAAATAAATCTTTATAATTAAAAAAAAGAGACAAACATTGAACTAAAAGAAACTAGTAAAAATATTATATTTTTATTTTTTGATTAATTGTTCATGTTTCGTGAATCACTTTGTAGAGTTAATTATTTGTAATAAAGAATAACATAATATACAATAAAACATACAAATTAAATAAAATTATATATAATTTACTGTCATTAAAAAAATATTGAAACTCAAAAATTAATACACCATTATAATTTTTTAGAATAAGACCATAAACAACAAATATTGTACAATTGATAAAGGTTAATATACAAATATATTTTGGATATAAAATTATTCATTGTGTGTCTAAGTCAATAATCTTCTTTTTATGTTTTTAATTTTAAATTTATTAATGATATTCATTAAATGTATAACTTGGTAAAAAAAAAAATATATATACAGGGTGGCCCACCACTCACTGACAACTTAAATAACTTTTGATCCAGTTAATATTTTTAGTTGATTTTTTTTTTAAATAATATTTATACGTTAGGTCTATAGCTATATCTCAATAATTAATTTTTTTACATTTTATTAAAAATATTAATTATTTTAAAATTTTAAATAAAATGTAAAAAAAAAATCTAAGATAGCTATTTTGTAGAGTAGAATTTAAGAAAAATTTTAGTAAAAAAATATCTTATTAATATTCAGTAGTAAATATTCTGTAGCGTTTTGAAGTTTGTGAAAATTTGAATTTTCATGTACTATTTTACGGTATTAAACATTGAAATACGTATTGAGAAAAGGACAGAAGAAAACGCTATCTTTTCAATATACTTTTGAATGAGAGTGATAAGTAATAATTGCCTTATCTAATTTCTTATCATGGTATTAATGCCATGTTTGTAATGTATACACACTATCATCATATGTATACACAGTAATCATGAAAAGATAGCGTTTTCTTCTGTCCTTTTCTCAATACGTATTTCAATGTTTATAACCGTAAAATAGTACATGAAAATACAAATTTTTACAAACTTCAAAACGCTACAGAATATTTACTACTGAATATTAATAAGATATTTTTTTACTAAAATTTTTCTTAAATTCTACTCTACAAAATAGCTATCTTAGATTTTTTTTTTACATTTTATTTAAAATTTTAAAATAATTAATATTTTTAATAAAATGTAAAAAAATTAATTATTGAGATATAGCTATAGACCTAACGTATAAATATTATTTAAAAAAAAAATCAACTAAAAATATTAACTGGATCAAAAGTTATTTAAGTTGTCAGTGAGTGGTGGGCCACCCTGTATATATTTCTTATAAAAAATCTTTTTTTGTGTATGTTGAGTATTATATTTTATATATATAATTATGTAGTTAAAAATAACAAAAATTAAAAATAACAACTTTGCCATACGACATCTTAATAATTATTATTGTTTTAATAAAAATATTAATTTAATGGCTAATTATAATTAATTATATTATATAATTTCTTTGGTTAAAATGTTACTTAATATTTGGTATTATTTTTTACTTTTTATTTGGTTCAAAATAGAAACAAATGAAGCTATTTGTTTTGTTTTACTAAGAAACAAAACACTATAAAACGTTTTGGAACAGTAATGTTTTTAATCTCTGATGTTTATATTTGATTATTTGTAGTGTGACCATTATGAATTTGATAGTAAAGAATATTTATTTTGGATGAGTAAAATAACTCAGTTATCAATTGATTGGGAACTATCTCTAGACGAACTTAGAATTCATCAAGTAGTTTCCCTTTATGCAAAAGGTCATGATAGATTAGCAGGAGAAGTAATTTTTTTTTAATTTAAAATACTATAATAAACTAACTGAAAAATGATTTATATTATATTTTTATAGGTAGTTCCAATTGTCAGCAATAAAGAAAGTTTAGTCAAGCAATTATTGAATATTATCAAACATAGATTGAAATATGAATTGACAATGAATGATTTGGATTTTTATAGAAAAATAGTGCATTTTAGTCCAGAAATGATTTTATGGTTAAATGACCCTGTAAGAAAACAAAAATATCAACAATTTTTTTTTTTATTATTCTCATGCTTTTGCATTGGAACATGGTGTTTTATCGCCTTTGTAAAAGTGCACCTATGGACACCCATCCGTTTACCTACAGAAATAGGCATTGCAAAACACTAGAATTTTGTCAACAACTAGTGTTACCAATGCGCAACACCACTCCCTTTCTTTGTAAAATACAATAATTCCATAGTGCAACTTATAAATTATATTTTAGTGTTAAAAATTTAAAAAATAATTATTGAAATTATAGGTCTCCATGGAAGTTGAAAAATCATTAATAACAGAAACTTTAGAGCTGGTTCAAACTGTTGTAACTTTAATATCAGAAAATGATGTGCAATATGATTTTGCAATAAGCTTGATGAATAGCTTAATTTCATTTAATGACTCCTGATAGCTAAAATAAAATTAGTTGAACTAACTTTTATATAGTTTATTTTTTCAAATATTTGTTTTTTTTTATGTGAATTAATAAAAGGATCTCTCAATTATTTTTTAGGAAATAAGTTGTTTTTAAAAATTATAATTTCTGTTATAATCAATTTTTATTACAATAAAATTAGTTATATAAATAATATATACTTTTAAAATTATGTTTTATAATTGAATATAGTTAAAATAAAATAAGTCATACAAAGTATGTATTTTATTTTTTACTTTTTTTAATTGATCCATAATTTTTTATTATATCTAAAGAAGTTTTATTCTTTTTAGTCGTTAATTTTTTATTAGTTTTGGAAGTTCTTATCATAGTCTTAGGTAATTTAATAAGCTTTTCTTGATTTTTCTTGATTTCTAAGTCTTGTTTTAATTTATTCTTTAAAAGTTTGTAGTTTAAGCATTCTTTTCGTCTAGGTTTTGCTCCTAATTTAATAGCTAACTGTTCTTTAGCCTTACAGTTGTTTGCACTAAAGCGATTAGTAAATTTAATTACTTCATGTTGTAATTTTTTTATATTAAATTGATCATTTTTTGTCTGAGGTTCGTCAAAAGTATTAACATCATGATTTTTAAGATTTTTTTTTGAGCGTTTTTTAGATTTAAGTTGAATTACTTCTAGTTTAGGTTGGTTAATTTTTAACCTTGATGATAGAGTTTCTACTTGTAATGATTCCATATCCAAACTGAAACAATTTAAAATAAATGTTTATTAGACACATTTTTTATAAACAATCTTCTTTTATAATATAGGTTAAAAAAAGTTGGGTCATGTTTTATTTAAAAACTTTTTTTCCCAAGAGATTTTTCGATACTCATTTCAAATTTCAATATTTTTACATTTATTTCATATAAATACTGCTAATATTATTAAATTTAATAAAAGAAGAAAAACACCAAGCCCATTTTTAATGATTGTTTACTTTTTTATCCTATTACATATCATAATTTAACAAATTTTAATATTATTTTTCTTTTTTATAATAACTTAAATAATTATAATTCATAAAATCTGAATACATTCTACAACAAAAAAGAACACAGTCTTGTCTTTATTTATTGGTTTTAAAAATTTAAATAAAATAAATTTAATAATTACAATTTTTTTTACTTATTTTTATCTCATGCGTAAAGATTATATTAACTATGAATGATGCAAAAAACAATATTTTAGTATTTCTTATATACATATTATATATTATAATATACATGTACATATTGAATACATGATATTGATATAATTACTAACAACAACAAAAATATAAATAAAAAAAGGTTATGAAGATCAATTTTACCATTTTTAAAAATACTGTTAATTATACTATAACCACAATTAAGGATTATTTAAAAAAAAATGTTTTTTTTTGAGTTATATTTTAGTATTAAAGTAGTAATTTTGTAAAAACTTAAATTATAACAAATGTCATGCAAACAAATAAAGCTAAGTGTACTAGTATATTTTAAATTTTTTCTCTTAAGACAGGGAGATAGATAACTATTTAAACTCATGAAAAATCATGAATAAAGATACTAACAGCAAGCTTCATTCAACATAAGTGCTTATCAGTAACTACAGAATTAATTTATATAAACAGATTCCCACATTTAGAAGTTGGTATACCAAAGCTTCTTTGTATTTAAAAATAGCCCAAACATTTTTATTATAACTACATAATAAATAAATAAGGGTTATCAACAATTAATCAAAGCCCCTTAAGAGACTGAATTTTTTACTATGAGTAAAGCAGTACTTCCTTGTGGATTCTCTAATTATACACTAGACTATACTTTTTTAATTCAGTATTGATAAATTGAAGAGCTCATTCTGCTTTAATATTCATAAAATATTACTCATTATAATTGGGCAACCTCAGGATTTATTTTTTAAATTAACATCAAATATGTGATAAACAAACATAGACCTTGTTTAATTCTAAGCAGAAAGAAATTTTATTCTGTTAATTTAAAAAAACTACAGAAGTAATAAATTTTATGAGCATTTAATTTGCTAATATTAATATCTAATTGAATTAAAGTTCAAGAACATGTCAAAAAAAATGTTCTGGTACATTTACTCTCATAAATTGTTTATTTAGGAAAGTTGTTTCGTCTAAAAGTTTAGGACACTTTCAAAAAACTAATTTTTTTTTGAAATTATTATTTTTAATAATATAAAATTTATATATTAAATTTACATAAAAATTTAAATACCAGTTTTTCTAATTTATAATTTAACCAATATTAGAATGTAAAATATACAATTTAGATCCATTTCATAAATTCTTTTTGAAATTTTATTCGAAATAAACAAATTATAATGAATATTATAATATAATAATATTATAATGTGTGATTAAACAAAAAAAAGTGACTAAATCCCTTTTATAAATAAACAATTCACGCGACGTTAAAATAGTACCTTACCTAATATCTTGAAATTAGAATTTTCAAAATTTATCAGTTAAATCAAGGTAAATAAACCTAGTAAAAAAAATTGTGTTTTAATAACTTTTATACTAAACAATCATATCAATTCACAGTAATTGATATGAGTAAATTTAATTTCAAATTAAATATAATTAAAAACAATTTTAAATATAACCTAAATGCAGGAAGTTCTATTTATTTAATGTTTGTTATCATTTTTATTCACAGATAATAATTATCTATGTTATTACACGATTATCAAACCATGGTTTATAAAGATGGTAACATGTTTTCAATTTTCTGATTATTTTTACCGTGTTAACAAGAAATTTTCTAACCAAAAAATAATAATTTTAGTACTCTTTGACTATATTTTCATTATATTATTTTTATACCGCACTTTTAACTTGGTATTATACAAAATGTGAGGAATAACGATTTATAAAGATGTTCATTCTTGTACTCGACGTCTCTTTGACTATTTAAAATAAAAACGTATTAAATTTTATGAACAAAATTTAATTTAATTTAATTTCATATACCGTTAGAGTATTGGCTAATAAGAATTAAAATATAAACATTTCAATATGTAAGTATTAATCTAAAAAAGTTAGAAACAACTAAATGAATTTAATTAGCACTTAAATAATAGTTATGTCTCTTTATACAGCTCAAGATTGTTGACTGTAGACACCACCCATTTATATTTTAATCATATTATTTTTGTATTGTTTATTCGCCCAAACAGTTATAGTTAAAAGCGATTTTCATTACCGATAATTTTCTAAAATAAGTATTTTGTCAAATAACAAGTTTTTTTTAGCTTTATCAATGAGAAAAATTAATTCTTTTTTTGATACTTTAAACCTATTATTTATTATTTAAATACGGTTTTGTGACATGAGAATCAAAAGTTCTTAATAAATTAGATTAAAGAGGTTTTTGATTTTAATGTCTGTTATTTATTATCTCCATTAAAAATAATATTTTAAATAAAATATCTCTAATTTCAAAATTTTGAAAAAAAATATTAAAATTTGTTTTAATAGTGATGAATAATAAAAAATATGGTTTCATCATAGACATAGTCTAAGAAGGCAATAATTTTTTTTTTCAAAAAAAAAATCATTGGAATTACTGGATCAAAAGTTATAAGCGGTGTTAATAAAATCTGAGACACTGCATATTTATAGACTTATAATTCTCTGAAATATTTTCAAACTAAAATCAGTTCCTTAAATTGTCAAATTTTTAAATTATTATAACTTATTTTAATTATTACTTGTTATTTTATTATGAGTTCTAACTTTAATGATTTGCTTTTATTTCAAGGGAAAATGATTTTAGTTACGTATCGCCTTTTAATTACCAAAATGACTGTAATCAACCATTTATTTCTTCTGATGAATTCATAGAAGCTTATTTAAATGAGGATACTACACCAAATTCTAAAATTGTCGATAAGGTAAGTAAAAAATTGTTATTTAATTTCAAATTTGTTTGAATATGATGCGTATTTTTTATTTGTCTAAAAATAAACATTTTCTATGATTATAATCATTTATATATAATACACTTGGTATATATATATCAGTGAATGAGGTCTTACTGAAAAATCGCGGATTTCACCAAAGAATCGCTGAAAAAAACACGTATGACGATTGTCCATGCCCGTCGTATAAGTCGACCAAAATGGACCTAACAATTGGCAGCAACATTGTTAGAATCAAGTATAGATTTATCTATACTTGAATAGCATCCCTTAGTCATAAGAGATGTCATTGCGATACAGAAGGCAACGGTAAACCACTGTATTAATTTTCCCAAACATCAAGCAATGAAGGTCAACAATAGGAATGATATAAAACGAGACGATGGGATTCGGAACCCGGAGTTCAGCAGGGGGAGACAGAGCATGGCTTCCTAGGTCATCAGCCAGCAAAATCCATGCCAAAGCAAAAAACAAAACATTGAAAATAAAATCAAAAATAAAACTATTCCAACTAAAATAGAAACGTGGAACATAAGAACGTTGTTAAGACCAGGAAGATTTGAAGAACTTAAACAAAAGATGACACTTAAACAGCTTGATATTTTAGAAGTGTGTGAAATTAGATGGGGTGACAATGGAGATTTCTAGAGTGATAATTTTCGAATAATACATAGTGGAGATAAACAAGAAAAAAACGGTGTTGGAATACCATTAAACAAAGAATGGGGAATGCAAGTAGAAAATACCTAACATGTGAATGATAGAATATTACTAATAAAATTAAAGACATCCACAGTAAACATGATAGTCATCCAGGTATACTTTCCAACCTTGAATAGTGGAGACGACGAAATCGAACAAGTGTATGATTCTCTAGATGAACTACTAGGAATAATTCGAGATAGCGATAACGTAATTATTATGGGCGATTTCAATGCGGTAGTAGGAGAAGGACAAGACAATCAAATTGTAGGCAAACATGGCTTAGGAACAAGAAACATCCGAGGCGGAAGATTAGTCAATTTTTGTAAGCAGAACAATTTTCTAGTTACCAACACAATATTTGAAGTACCAAAATGAAGACGCTATACATGGGTAGCTTCAGGGGATACTAATCGTTATCAAATTGACTATGTGTTAACAAAAATCCGTTTCAAAAACTAAATAATGACAAGTCACAGTTTTCCTGGCGCGGAAATCGATAGCAATCATAAGCTTGTAGTGATGAAGTACAAAATAATACACAAGAAAATAACAAAGCGACCCAAATGTAAAATATGGGACATAGAAAAACTTAAAAATGAAAAAAAAAACAAGAGTTTCAAAACAAGGGTTATAACAGCGTGATAGCTGATGGTATCAACCCACCATGGGAAAAAGTGGTTAACAATATTCGGCAATCTGCTGAAGAATCAATCGGATTTAGAAAACTAAATCCAAGGAAACCATTCATAACGAATGAGATAATGGACTTAATAAAATACCGCAACAAATTAAGGAAGACTGATGATTCGATGTATAGAATAATAAAGAACCGTATTACCCAAAAGTGCAGAGATGAAAAGGAGAAATGGATAGATATAACATGTGAAAACATTAAAGCAAATATGACTGCAAATAGAATAGACAAAGCATATGGAATGATTAAACGATTGTCAAGATTACCGAAGCCAAGAAGCAAAATTGTTAAGGATATGAATGGACAACTGATTCTAGATGAAGGTGGCATAGTGACGAGATGGAAAGAGTACATAGAAGATTTGTATGAAGGTTGTATAGGAAAAAATGACATAAATATTGAAAATATAAGTAAGTCAAACAGAGAAGACATAGGGCCAAATATAACAAAAAGCGAATTTATTACAGCACTAAGTCAATTGAAACAAGGTAAAGCGGCAGGAGTAGATGACATCCCGGTAGAACTATTAAAAAACGTCGGAAAAGATACCGAGAATAAGCTATTTGAAATGATTGAGAAAATGTATAGGGATGTCAACATTCCGGAGGACTTTACCAAAAGCAAAATTATACTTATCCCTAAAAAAGGGAATTCCACAGAATGCAAGAATTACAGAACAACAAACCTCTTAAAACATGCGTCCAAAATACTTCTTATCATCATAAAAAATAGGAGCTTGATGAAGACCAATTCGGGTTTAGACAGGGAGTTGGTACAAGAGAAGCAATTTTAGCTCTAAGGGTAATCACCGAAGGAGGCTAAATGTAAATAGAAATATATTTATTAACTTTTATAGATCTAGACAAAGCCTTTGATACAGTTAACTGGGCTTTATTGATGAACTCTATGAAAAGAACTCGAATAGATTGGAGGGACAGAAGAGTAAGATATTAAGAGACCTCAAGGTCTTACTCTTCTGAAGGTCAAGAGACCTTAATAGAGGTAGGAGAACATAGTGCAACAGCCAAAATTAGAAGAGGGGTAAGACAAGGATGTTCCTTATCACCTTATCTGTTCAATTTATTTGTAAAAGAAATCATAGACAAGTATAAGAGAAACTCTAAAGGAATAAGCATAAATGGAGAAAAGATACACTGTATACGATTTGCAGATGATATTGCTTTAGTGTCTTAATCGGAAAAAGACATGCAAAAATCTCTAACTACCCTCACTAAAATATTGCAGGAGTATCAAATGAAAATAAATGCAAACAAAACAAAGACAATTTTGGTGACTAAAGCAAAAGAAATTCCTTTAGTGAGGTTGGAAATAGATAATAACTTAATTGAACAGGTTTATAATTTAAGTATCTAGGAAGTACGATTACTAGCGATGGTAGATGCTCAATAGAAATTAGACAAATAATAGCTATGGCAAATAGAGCATTTATGCAAAAACGGCAGCTACTTACAAACAAAAAACTTAATATAAAGATGAGAAAAAATTTTGTCAAATGCTATGTATGGAGCGTACTACTATATGGCTGTGAAACATGGACCATCAATGGACAAGACAAGGAGAAGTTGGAAACCATGGATATGTGGACATGGAGAAGGTTGCTGAAAGTCAGCTGAACAGAAATGAAAAGTAACGTAGATGTATGAAACCAATTAGGGGAAAAAAGAATTCTGTTAAACGCCATAAAAGAAAGAAGTGGAAAAATGTTCGGTCACCTATTAAGGCATAATTCGTTTATAACAAATATATTTGAAGGACGAATAAATGGACATAAAGATAGAGGTAGACCTAGGAAAGCATATATAGAAGAAATGATAAGACAAGCTGACTGTAGTCGATACATAGACATAAAAAAAATTGGCTTTTAACAGAAAAGAATGGAGAACCAGATTTTCAACGACAAAGCAAGGCCTTTAGTAGAGAAGAAGAAGAATATGGAGGTCTTCATACAACATTTAAATATTTTTTACCCATCGATTAAATTCACATATGAACAGGAAGTAGAGGGAAAATTACCTTTTTTGAATTTATTAGTTAAAAGAGCAAAGAGGGGACTAAATTTTGAAATTTATCGAAAACCACGCACACGTTCAGATACATTCCAAACAAATCGAACCACAACTGACAACACAAATTAGCAGCATTTAATAGTATGTTGTACAGTAATTAATAATCCGATGAATAAAATAGATTTTGATAAAGAACTGTGAGTTATAAGAGAAATAGCTAAATTTAATGTTTATAATAAAAACATAATTTCAAAATTAGTCCGAACACAAAAGTGGAATAAAGAAAGGAGGGCAGTCAGTATACTCGATAGCGTGAGGGAACAAAAAGTAATTAGATCATCCATTTTATATTATCCGGGAATCTCAAATGGACTAGCTAAAATTTTTAAGAATTTTATGTAGGGCAAACAAAAAGAAATATAGGAATCAGGTTTAAAGAGCACTTAAGAAACATTAAAAATCAAGAAGTTGAGAAATCTCCAGTGGCTGAACATTTATTGACACATAATAGCTCCATTAAAGCTACTAAACTAATTAAAAACGTAAATAATTACAAAGAACTTAACATAAGGGAGACAATAGAAATGTTTAATAATAAAAAAACAATCTAATTGGGATCTTGGCCGACTGAAAAATTCACTACAACTTGTGTAAACTGGCAAAATGTGATAATATTACTTAGTGATAAGGTTACTAAGGGTATATAAGGGAGTTTTTTCTAGTCGGGGTATCAGTATGTGTTTAACGTTGATAATTGAAACATTAATTTTAAGTAAACTAGCCACAAGTGATCAATTTTTATTATATAATATTGTATCCTTCAACAACGTATTTTAGCTTCAATGTAAAGTTAAGAAAGTATTAATTTTACTATAATGTGTTTTTGTGTCTGTCGCCACTTTTTTTCAGCTCTCACTGAACCGATTTCTTCCTATGATTTGTTAATAGATTACAAATTGTATCTAGTTGAAAACATTGTCCTTTTTCTTTAAATTGAAAAAAAATTATGGCTTTTATTATCGGTAAATTTATTTTTAAAAAATAGAAATACTCCGGACTTTAAACACATGTCAAATTAAATCTTATGCTATTCACTGTAAGTTAAAAAATTTGTCCCAATGCCTTGTCTTTATTATATTATTTAACCCAAGTATTAATTTGTTGTAAAAAATCAATATTTTTTGTGTTGTTACAATTTCTATTTCAATATTTTAGTATTTTATATATTTATTTATATTTTATGTCGAACAGTGTAGTATTTAACCCTCTATTTATAAAAAAAAAAAATTATAAAAATGGTAGTTTTAGATATTTTTAAAGAGACTTTTGTAACTTTAAATATTAATCTAATATGTATATTAAATGGCAGTGGACTAACTTTTCTTAAATTATGTTCTAGCTACCAATGGGGTATATAACGAAATATATGGTGATTCTTTTAATAGCTTACCCTATAGCTATTCTTATTCACTCGTTTACTCTTAAAATAATATTTATGTTAAGAAAATTATATTTAATTTTATATAATTCTTGATTTATTAAATATT